ACTGATGGATAGCGAGGTAGGCAGGTAGATGTAGACAGTGATAGAGAGATATCAGTAAACAGAAATATAAAGATAGATGTATAGACAGTCAGATGGTATACATTTGTCTTTGACTTGCTTTGTTCCAGAATGATTTTTTTTTAAAAATATATTTTATTGATTTTTTACAGAGAGGAAGGGAGAGAGATAGAGAGTTAGAAACACCGATGAGAGAGAGTCATCGATCAGCTGCCTCTTGCACACCCCCTACTGGGGATGTGCCTGCAATCAAGGTACATGCCCTTGACCAGAATCGAACCCGGGACCTTTCAGTCCCCAAGCCGACGCTCTATCCATTGAGCCAAACCAGTTTCGGCCTTTTTTTTTTTTTTTTTTAATGTTTTTATTGATTTCAAAGAGGAAAGGAAAGGGAGAGAGAGAAACATCAATGATGAGAGAGAATCATTGATCGGCTGCCTCCAGCACACCCTACCCTGGGGATCAAGCCCGCAACCTGGGCACGTGCCCTGACCAGGAATTGAACTGTGACCTGGTTCATAGGTCTCTGTTCAACCTCTGAGCCTCGCCAGTCAGGCCAGACTGATTTTAAAAACACAGCGTGGACCCTGTGAAGGAAAAGAGCCACATGCTAACCTGACAAGTTCAGGGGAGGCTTGCATGGCAGTCTTGCAAACTCAGAGACCTAAAAAAAAACACAAAAGATGGTTTTAAAATTAAATATCTAACTACAAACAGGTTATAGTGGGTAGTCATTTCCTAGACCGATATTTCACCTGACAAAGATCAACTTAGATCTTCTTTACTGAGTCCATCTGCCTTCCCGCATCTAAGATAACATATCTATGAGATGTCTGAGCAACTTGTAACTACCCTTTTTCTGGAGCCCCTGGGGCACAACCCCATGTGGTGGGCGCCAGGACAGATGCCTCACATTCCTTCGTTATCATGTTAATTGTTCCTGTACTCACCTGAGTACACGTCCTTCATTTTATTTTCATCTAATCCCAGGGGTTTCCCACCGCTTTGCTTTCTCCCACTTCCTTACTCCGTCACCAATGAATTTCATGTAACCCATCTATGTCCCTCCTTTGATTGCAATGTATAAATATAGAAATGTAACCCGCCATTCTCCGGAGCATTATCTCAGTCCGTTGAGGTTCTGCTTCCCGGCATATGTTGATAGTTTGGCTCAAATAAGCTCACTAACATTCTTTACAAGGTTCAATGGTTTTTTCTTTTTTTTCCTTTTTTTTTTTTAAATATATTTTTATTGATTTTTCACAGAGAGGAAGAGAGAGGGATAGAGAGCTAGAAACGTCGATGAGAGAGAATCATCGACCAGCTGCCTCTTGCACACCCCCTACTGGGGATGTGCCCGCAACCAAGGTACATGCCCTTGACCGGAATCAAACCTGGGACCTTTCAGTCCGCAGGCCTACGCTCTACCACTGAGCCAAACCGGTGCCGGCTCAATGGTTTTTTCGTTGATGACCCCATCTTCCAAACCTGTCACTCCAGATCAAGCGCCCACTCCATAGCACCAGGCCCTTGTTCCTATGGCCCCTTCAGCCTCTGTTCCCCACCTCCTGACATCTCCCAGCGGCCTCTCCCCCCCGGCTCTCCTCAGACCACTCGTGCCAGTTGGTGCCCACCTCCCCTCACTGACCGGTGCTTGTCAGAGGAATGTTAGCCCCGTGCCCACCCTGCCCCCACCGAGTGTGCACTGGGTGTCCACTCAGACCTGCACGATGGGAACTCCCGGGGGGAGGATGGGGAAAGGGTGCTTGACAATGGCGGGCACTGAGAAGTGGGTGCTGGGGTGCTAGCTGTATTGGGGCAGTCTGAGGAGGTGGCACTTCAGCCAAGTACTCGATGGCAGAGGGGAGGGGGGAGCGGGTCCAGTGGAGAGGACGGCGAGGGCAAAGGCCCGGAGGTGGGAACAAGCTGTCCTCCGTGTGACTGGAGGGCTGCGGCCAGGATGTGAGAGAGATGCCCAAGCTAGCCAGCGGTCACTGAAGCCTCTCTGAGATGCTCCGGGCAGATTACCGACCACAGCACCACTGACACTGGGCCCGAAGCCACCGGAACGGAGTTGGTGGGATCCGCTCAGGGCATGAAGCCAGGAGCGAGTCAGGGAGGCTGCACATTCAAACCGGGGGGAAGTGGGGTCCTGCAGGGCACCCCTTCACTCCATCCTCCCCGACGTGAGCAACTGCCTTCGTGCGCCTGGATTCCAGAGGCCGGGGACACACCGCAGGGAGCCAGACCCAGACGTTCTTATCCCAGCGGCCATCTGTCTGGTGCGGAGACAGACCAGAAAGATGTGTGGCTTGTCGGGGCATGATAAGGGGATGCAGCAGGAGGGGGGGTCAGCTGGGGGTGGAGGGTGCATTGTAGATAAAGAAACTTGATACAGCGGGAAAGGAGCACAGGGTTGGGGGGGGGAGGGGTGCAGGGGAGAGAAGGGTGATCTAGAAAGAAAAGAGCCTTCTAGGCAAATGGAATAGCAAGCGCCAAGGCCCTGAGCCAAACCCTGATCCACCCTCACAGAAAACCAGCAGAGCAGGGACCCCTGGAACGGAGGGAGAACAGCGGATTCAGAATCCGGGAGACGACAGAGCCATAGCCAACAACCCACAGGTTTCACTGCACACGTTGCACAAAGTCGTGTGCACGCGCTTTTGCACACTTTTTAATTAAAAAAAAAAAAAAAAAAAATATATATATATATATATATATATATATATATATATATATATATAATGTTAACACTTTAAGACTTTATTAAATACCCTGTTTCCCTGAAAATAAGACAGAGTCTTATATTAATTTCTAGGTCTTATTTTCGGGGAAACACGGGTAGTATCACTAGCATCCCATTTTTCTGTTTCTTACTTTTGTTTTTTGTTCATCTTCAAAATGAGGATATTTTCCCCATTCACTTTTAGAGAGAGTGAGAGGGAGGAGGAGGAGACACACAGAAACGCTGATGTGAGAGAGACATCAGTTTGCTGACTCCTGCATGTGCCCCAATCAGGGCTGCCAGGAATCAAGCCTGCAGCCCAGGTAAGTGCCCTGGACTGGGATCCACTGACGCCCTCTCCGTGGAGCAGAATGGGGGGTGGGGGAGAGGCCTGCAGGAGGCAGCCGATCAATGATTCTCTCATCATCAATGTTTCTATCTCTGTATCTCTCTTAAGTCAATAAAAACATTTAAAAAATAAATAAAAAGAACGGAGGCTGGAAAGCCTGAGTTCTGGCTCCCGAGGGGCCTTTGGCGGACGTGATTTGGGATTCTTCCTAAGGAAGAGTTGACTCACTGGCCCTCACACCCATTTGAAAGACCAGAAGACTGAGGCTGGGGACTTCCTCCCCAGACGGCGGCCCGGCCCAGGCAAGGCCCCTCCCACCCCCGGACCCGGGCTGCGGCGCCCAAGTGTGAAGCGGGCGGCGGCTCCGGCCCGAAACCGCCGTCCTGAGCCCCGTCTGTGCGCCGGGGGCGGGGCGGCGGGCAGGATCCGGGGCGGGGCTCCCGCCAGGTGGGAGCGGGGGCCCGAGCACCCCTGGGTGCACATCGGGGCCACCCCTGGGCCACCCCTGGTGCACCCCGGGCTCAGGGGCCGGGGGTCCGGGAGGCCGGGCCGCCGCCACTGGACGCGGGGCGCCCCCCCCTGCGAGCGCCCCGCTCCCCGGCGCCTGGCGGTGACCTTGACCCGGGGCCCAGCCAACCGCAGGTGAGGCCCGCCCTGCCGGTGCGGAGGGAGGGGTCCCAGGTCCTTGTGACCCGCTTCCTGTTACCCCGGCTGCGGCGAGGACTGCCCGCCGCCTGGGCGACCCCGCGCCTGCTCACCCCGCGGGGCTGGGGCGGCCGCCTGAGTGCAGCGGCCGTTCCGGCCAGAAGAGGGCGGCCGCGAGCGCAGGGTAAGTCCCGGGGCCCCGGCGCGGGTCCCAGCGGCTGGGGTTCCTGGGGAGCCTCCAGCCCGGCGCAGGGTGAGGGTTAGAAGCCCGAGGTCACATGCGGCGCCATCAGCTGCCTCCCGCCAGGGTTCCTCCTGCAGGAATGGGGGCAGGGAGGGGAGGAGGGTGTGGGCAGGACTTCCTGGAAAAGGGGACCCTACTGTTGGGGGTTGGGGGGGGGGGGTGACCCTGGGACACACACACTCAGATGTTGTCACACACACACCACACACACCCCACACACAACTCACGCTGGAGACACAGCGCGGGCACACACACACCACCACCCAGGCACCAAGCAGGGACTCCCAAGCCATCGCCCCACACAGCTCCTGGCACACAGCACAGCCACCTGGGCCTGGCCTGCTGGGGGACACGGGACTCCCAGGCAGACATGTGACCTCAGCGGCTCAGACACGCCGGACACACACAGGCCGGACACGGGCCGGACACAGGCAGGACGCGGCTGGCCACGGGCAGGACGCGGCTGGCCACCTGTGTCTGGCTGGCGGGGCGCACACAGCGTGCAGAAGCGGCTGCTCAGGCCCCGGCACAGACAAGCCCCCGGGGCAGAGCCGTGACTGCCAGACCCCTGTCCACCCACCCGCCGCCCCGGCTGGGGAACTCCAGGGCTCACATGACCCAGGGGGAGGGCTCCGGGAACGGCCCGGAGAAACTGCCTCATCCTCGCCAATGACCCGTTTCCGCCCCAGAGCATAAAGGCTCGGTGACCCCGGCCCGGCCCGCCCTGGAACGCAGCTGCCCCTCGGACGGTGCCAAGTGGCCGGCCAGTGCCTGCGCCAGGGTGAGTGCCAGGCCGGGTGAGGGCGGGCAGACGGGGCCTGCGTGGCCGCCCTTCCTGGCCCCTGGCCTCTGGCCGGCGCCACCTGCCCGCTCACCCTCCCGGCCATCCTTGCCCTGACGGCTGGGAACGAGGGCACCCGGAGGCCGGGGGGTCCCGCCGGGCCACAGCAGGGCAGGGGGTGTCTCCCGCCCGCGCCTCTCGGCACCAGGTCCCCGGACACTTGTCTCTCGCCTCCCAGATGGACACAAGGACAGTGCTGCTCGTCCTGCAGGCCCTGCTGGCGCTCCCGCCGGCCGGCGGCACCGCCCCCGCCCCCGCCCTGCGCTTCGTGGCCGTGGGGGACTGGGGCGGGGTCCCCAACGCCCCCTTCTACACCGCCCGGGAGACGGCCAACGCCAAGGAGATCGCCAGGACCGCCAAGATCCTGGGCACAGACTTCATCCTGTCGCTGGGGGACAATTTCTACTTCACGGGCGTGCGGGATGCCGAGGACAAGCGGTTCCAGGTGCGGCCGCCGCCGCCGGGGCGGGGACACGCGGAGGAGCCGGGGTCAGCTCCCCCCTCCGAGGGAGGGCGGCGGAGGGGGCCGCCCGCCGACGCCTGTGGGGGCCTGGAGCTCTCGGGGCCTCTCTGGTCCTCGGCTCCTGGGTTGGTGGTTGGTGGGGGGCACTGGGGTGCTGCTTGACACCCTGGGGTGGGGGTGCCCCTTCTGTCCGCTGCAGGAGACCTTCGAGGATGTGTTCTCAGACCCCTCCCTCCGCAACGTGCCTTGGTACGTGCTGGCTGGCAACCACGACCACCTGGGCAACGTCTCGGCGCAAATCGCCTACTCGAAGGTCTCCAAGCGCTGGTGAGCCTTCTCTCCCCTCCCCCCCCTTCCCCGCCCCCGGGCCTCGCTCAGGGGCACGAGGGGCCCCGCTGGCCCGAGCGGACCCTGGGGCAGACCCTCTCCACCCCGTGCCCTCCCCAGGAACTTCCCCAGCCCTTACTACCGCCTGCGCTTCAAGATCCCGCAGTCCAACGTCTCCGTGGCCATCTTCATGCTGGACACGGTGACCCTGTGTGGCAACTCGGACGACTTCCTGAGCCAGCAGCCGCAGCGGCCCCGCGACCCGCAGCTGGCCCGCACACAGCTGTCCTGGCTCAAGAAGCAGCTGGCGGCGGCCAAGGAGGACTACGTGCTGGTGGCGGGCCACTACCCGGTGTGGTCCATCGCCGAGCACGGCCCCACCCACTGCCTGGTCCGCCGGCTGCAGCCGCTGCTGGCCACGTACAAGGTCACCGCCTACCTGTGCGGCCACGACCACAACCTGCAGGTGAGGGGCCTGCGGGTGGGGGAGGGGGGTGGAGAGCCAGGTAAGGGGCCACCACCCCAGTGGATGTGCAGCGTGGCACATGGGGATCCTCCTGCCATTTGGGGGATCCCCCCCCAAATGTCACGCTCCCTCACACTCTATGTTCTTTTTTTTAATATATTTTATTGATTTTTTACAGAGAGGAAGAGAGAGGGATAGAGAGATAGAAACATCGATGAGAGAGAATCATCGATCAGCTGCCTCTTGCACACCCCCCACTGGGGATGTGCCCGCAACCAAGGTACATGCCCCCGACCGGAATCGAACCCGGGACCTTTCAGTCCGCAGACCAACGCTCTATCCGCTGAGCCAAACTGGTTTCGGCCACACTCTGTTCTTTTTTTTTTTTTTTTTTTAACTAATCTTTTTTAAAAAATATATTTTATTGATTTTTTACAGAGAGGAAGAGAAAGGGATAGAGAGTCAGAAACATCAATCAGCTGCCTCCTGCACACCCCCCACTGGGGATGTGTCTGCAACCAAGGTACAAGGTTCGATTCCTTGACCAGAATCGAACCCGGGACCTTTCAGTCCGCAGGCCAACGCTCTATCCGCTGAGCCAAACTGGTTTCGGCCACACTCTGTTCTTTTTTTTTTTTTTTTTTAACTAATCTTTTTTAAAAAATATATTTTATTGATTTTTTACAGAGAGGAAGAGAAAGGGATAGAGAGTCAGAAACATCAATCAGCTGCCTCCTGCACACCCCCCACTGGGGATGTGTCTGCAACCAAGGTACAAGGTTCGATTCCTTGACCAGAATCGAACCCGGGACCTTTCAGTCCGCAGGCCGACGCTCTATCCACCGAGCCAAACCGGTTTCGGCATCACACTCTATGTTTTTTAACCAGGGAAACAACCCCAAGTTTCCCCCCAAAGCTGTCATGATGGCTACCAGTTGCCAGTGGCTTGCTCAGGGCAGACGTGGGAAATAGGATCCATACACTCCTGCAGGTGGCCTGGGGGGGGCGGAGGACTGAGGCCCTCAGGGGGTGTATGTTGCTTTCCCAAAGTGACTGGAGAGCTCACGTTCGGCCTCAGGGAGGGGCGGGGGCCGCCCTGACCCCGAGCCCTCGGCCCGCAGTACCTGCAGGATGAGAGCGGCATCGGCTACGTCCTGAGCGGGGCCGGCAACTTCATGGACCCCTCGCGAAGGCACTTCCGCAGGGTCCCCAGCGGCTACCTGCGCTTCCACTACGGGGCTGAGGACTCGCTGGGCGGCTTCGCCCACGTGGAGATCGGCCCCAAAGAGATGAGCATCACTTACGTCGAGGCCTCGGGCAAGTCCCTCTTCAAGACCAAGTTGCCCCGGCAAGCCCGGCTGGGGCACTTGTGAGGGGCCGGAGGCAGAGAGACTTCCCTGCCAGTGGGGTGGTGGGACCCCCTGGGACCCCCACACCTTGGCAGGATTTCTCAGGGAACCACGCTCTTGAACCCGGCATCCTCCTGTCACTGCCAAATATTCAATAAAAGAATAGATGCGCCCTGGCCCCTGTGGCTCAGTTGGTTGCGTGTCGTCCCATACACCGAAAGGTCGCCAGCTCCATTCCTCATTAGGGCCCATGCCAGGGGGGTTGCCTGGCCCCAGAGGGGGAGCGTGCAAGAGGCAGCCGATCAATGTTTAGCTCTCATCAATGTTTCCCCTCTCTCACTTCCTTCCTCCCACTCCCTTCCTCTCCCTCCCTCTTTCTCTAAAAAATTTTTTTAAAAATTAATTGTTAACAATAAAAACATTAAAAAATAAATAAATGCAAGATTGCAAATGTCCCTTTCCTGACCCTGGCGAGTTGCATCACCTGGGTGTCTGCCCCGCACCCCTTGCTGGCCTGTAACTCCATCTCTTACCCCCATCCGCAGCCAGCTGGGCCCCTACATGGACATGGTTTTAAGGAAGGACTGAACGGGGCGCACCGTTCCCTTCCTCCTCTTCTCCCACAGATAAGTGTCTCCTAGACCCTAAGGGACCCCACAAGGCTTGCAACCAGGGAGCAGCTAGCAGCAGCTCGTCCCAGGCTCTCCCCCTGAACCTGTCTGGGTCCCCTTTTCTCTGCCTTCCCAGTGAGCCTTGCAAAGTGCCTCCCCGAACCCCTCCTTGTTTCACTGTTCTGAGTGTGCCTTTGCTTCTCAATAAATGCTTGCTTGCTTTGCTGCGCGTGCGCGCGCGCACACACACACACACATACACACACACACACACACACACACACACAAAAGGCCAAACGGGGGGAGGGGGGGGAGGGAGGTACAAAACAAGCCTTCCTCTCCCAGCCCAGCTCCCTAGGGGCAGCCACACCGGCACTGGTGCCTCCATCAGCAAAACATCCCTCTTTATGCAAAACAACGCCGTCCCCACTCAGTGCTGCACCTGCTTTCTAGTTAACCTCAACCCTTCTTCCTACTTAACCACAATTCAGCTGTCCTTAACAGAACACTCATTTTGTTCGTTTCAACACGAAATTGCTAAAAAGGTCACGTGGCTCAGGGTGAAGTCTCCCACCACCTCCCTCTCTTTCCCGCCCCCTCTCCTAAAAAGAAACAAAATTTTTTAAAATATATTTTATTGATTTTTTACAGAGAGGAAGGGAGAGGGATAGAGAGTCAGAAACATCGATGAGAGAAACATCGACCAGCCGCCTCCTCCACACCCCCTACCAGGGATGTGCCCACAACCAGTGTACATGCCCTTGACCAGAATCGAACCCGGGACCCTTCAGTCTGCAGAACGACGCTCTATCCACTGAGCCAAACCAGTTTCGGCAAAAGAAACAAATTTTTATAAGGGCTTTGTTTCCTTCCGTATATCTCAATGCAAATAAAGACAAGTATGAATGCCCTTGTCTCCTCACTGATCTGCACCTGGCGCTGTGTGTATGTGTGTGTGTGTGTGTGTGTGTTTTCCAAACCAACTTTATTTAGGTGTAATTGACACATTTAAAGCATACAGTTCCAGCCAGGCTGGTGTGGCTCAGTTTGTGGGCGGGTTGAGCATTCGCCCACAAACTAAAGAGGTCATCGGTTCGATTCCGAGTCTGGGCACTTGCCTGGGTTTGGGTCTCAATACCCAGTAGGGGCCCTGCAGGAGGCAGGCTCTCATTGAAATTTCTGTCTTTCTATCCCTCTCCCTTCCTCTCTAAAAAAATTAATTAAAAACTTTGTTTTTAAAGCACACAGTTCCATAAACACCTACCACAGTTAAGATACAGGCATAGGCATGTCCCACACCCCCAAAGGCACTTTCCTGTTCCTGCCTGCTACCCTGGAGATCTGCCCATCTGCTCTCCGCGCTTCCGCCTCTTTCTGTGGCCACGGCTACGGAGGCCCCACTGTGTGCCTGCTCCACGGCCTATCGAACCAGCCATCTCCTGAGGGCTGCCAGGATCACATCCAATTGCTATCCTCAAACAAAGCTACAATCAATCACCCTGTCCCTGTTTCCTGCATGAGCAGATAAGTTTGTAGAATAAACAAGACACATTCCAAAGAGCAGGACTGCCGTTCTTTTTTTTGTGTTTGTGTGTGTGTGTGTGTGTGTGTGTGTGTGTGTTTTCTTTCTGTTGCCATTCCTTTTAACAGGCACGGAGCTTCCACCTCTGTCACCCGTCCCTTGCTGGGGCCCCGTTGGAATCTCCAATCTTTTTCTTTTACCAACATAGCTATGGAATTGTATGCATTCCTGGACCCAGGCTTTTGTACCTCTGTGCAAATATGTATGTAAAAAAAAAAAATGTCCAGAAGTGGAATTGTTTGAGGGCCTGTTTCTTTTTCTTTAAGAGGACTTTGATTGATTGATTGATTGATTGATTGGTTTCATGGAGACAGCAAGAGGGTGGAAGGGAAGGAAGGAAAGAGAGAGAGAGAGGGAGAAAGAAACATCCATTTGCTGTTCTACCCATCCATGCAGTCGCTGGTTGCTTCTTCTATGCCCTGCCCTGATATCGAACCCGCAACTTTGGCATATTAGGACCACACTAGCCAAGTGAGCTACCAGCAGGGGTCAGGCCTGTTTCTTCCTTTTTAAAAATATATTTCTTATTGATTTCAGAGAGGAAGGGAAAGGGATAGATAGAAACATCAATGGTGAGAGAGAATCATTGATTGGCTGCCTCCTACTGGGGACCAAGCCCGCAACTCTGGCCAGAATCGAACCCAGGACCCTTCAGTCCACAGGCCAACGTTCTATCCACTGAGCCAAACCAGCCAGGGCTCAGGCCTGTTTTTTGTGGTGGAAGCTGAAGGCTGCAGAGAAGCCAGTTCCCCTTTGAGGAGAGTTGAGTAACAGCCACCAGCTTTAGGCCAGTCACCCGAAACTTCTCCTTTGATCCGCCCTCAACTGCTGCTTTAGCTGCTCCGGGGCCGGGACGCCAAACAGCCTAGACACAAAGTCACCGAGGCCACTGCTGGCAGGAACCCGGGGAAGGGGCACCTTCCGTGGGCTACTCAAGAAGTGTCCATAGGGTTGGATTTGTTACAAGATACACATGTTACTGCTAGAGTTAAGCAAAGCCATCTTACCCAAAGACCAGCCCTAAGCACTTTCCAACTGCATTTACCCGGCTGGCATTCTTACCAGCCAAGCTTTATGCCAAAAAAAAAAAAAAAAAAAAAATCACTTCTAATCCTGACCCGCGAGGGAAGGGCCACGATCAACCTTGCTTCTCAGAGGACATTACGGAAACTGAGCGGGTTGCATGCCCAAGGTCATGCCAGGGAGTTGGCAGACTCTCAGTCTTCACCGAGACAGTCACCGCCGCTCACAGCCACCCTGCCTCTTCCCACTGACTCAGAGGCTCTGGGCAGGGATGGGTCTGAGTCAGCAGGCAGCCCCATGTGCTATTGGTGGGGCCTAAAGCGTGGAATTAGCCCAATGTCCTGGTTCACGGGGCCCAGCGCGTGGAAAGGAGAAGTGACACATCAGAGCCGACACGGGGAGTGAGTGGCAGGGATGGGGTTGGCCCCCTCCTCCACAACGGCCAAGTACTGAGTACTGCTACCAAGCACCAAGGACCGAGTCCTCTGCAGAGAGCTGGGGACCCAGGAGCACCCAAAAGAATAAGGCAGGGTAGACAGTTCCGCTCAGAGAGCTTTGCTCCGGCTCAGGGAACAATGCCACCAGCACGCAGCCTTTGTTAGAAAGATGCCTTCTCAACCGCACGGAGTCAGATGACAGAGTTCCGCAGGGGCAGTTGCAGAAACCCCTGTCCTCACTCTTCCTGAGCAACCACCTCTGATTCTGTCACCACGGACAGTATCAGGCCCCTTTCCACTCCCCACGCCGAGTGCCAGAATGGACACCGTCTCCCTCAAGCAGCAACAGGTTGTCTCCAGAGAGTCGGGCCACACCCACCTCCTCACCAGCTTCCAAGAATCATGAATCAGAAGGTGAGAGACCTGCCTTACCACGCAGCAAAATGCACCATCATCAGAACAGCACAACAGCCCTGAATGGGTTGGCTCAGTGGATAGAGTATTGGCCTGAGGACTGAAAGGTCCCAGGTTCGATTCTGGTCAAGGGCATGTACCTTGGTTGTGGGCACATCCCCTGTGGGAGGTGTGCAGGAGGCAGCTGATCGATGTTTCTAGCTCTCTATCTCTCTCCCTTCCTCTCTGTAAAAGAATCAATAAAATATATATATTTTAAAACAAACAAAAAACACAGCACAACATTGCCCTGCTAAAATTAAGCAAAGCTGTCAGGTGGTGTGGCTCAGCAGTTGAGGGTTGACCCAGAAACCAAGAGTTTACCGGTTCAATTGGTTTGATTCCTGGTCAGGGCACATGACCAGGTTGTGGGCTTGGGTGTGTGCAGGAGGCAGTCAATCACTGATGCTCCTCTCTCCCTCTCTCTCCCTCTCTAAAAATAAAAAATGCATATTTTGAAAACATTAAAAAAATATAAAAGCCAGCATGACACTGGCTTTAGGAAAATGTCCAGAGGGAATCCAGAAATTCTAAGAACACACGAGAATGTGATGTAGGTTAAAGGTGGCATTGCAACTTTATAAGAAAAGGGATAATTTGCCTTGTTGAATTGCCCAGAAGACAGAGCTTGAACCCTACTTCCAATCATATACAAGAATAGATTCCAGAGGGATCACATATTTCAGTGTAAAAATAAAAGAGTAGAAGATGAAAATGAGTATCCTCACAAAGATGTTGATGAGGTGGTTCATAGTAGTTCTATTCATCATAGTCCCAAAATTGGAAACATCCCAAATGTCCAGCAGTAACTGAAAGGATAAACAGCCTGGTATCCTATCTAATAAAGAGCAGATATGCTAATTGACTCTCACACTGTCACATATATGGTGGCACCCACAGCCAATCAGGAAGAAATAT